TTTTAGAATTTTATCTAATCTGATGGATTTGAAAATTCAATTTGAATCTAACAAATCAGATCAAATCTAAATCTAAATCTAATAGATTATATCAAATCTAATCTAAATTAATCAGAATCTAACAATTAAATCAAATTCAAATCTGAATTCAAATTTGATTATTAGACGAGTAAAGTAAAATAGATGCCAGCATTGAGATTATATAAATTATATGAAATAAAGGTGATTATATAGCGAGATGTATTCAGAGATGAGAAAATCATTTTATATAAATAGAAGAGCTTCTTATTTTCTTATTTACCATCAAGAAAATCATAAAAAATTAGAAAGTTACTTAAATAATGAAGATTTTAAGAAATATTAACAAATTTACAAACATTAGAATCTATTTCCTGAAAACCTAATAATATATATTAAAAAAATATTATTTTCAAAATTCATCAGACACATTTTAAAAGATATAATATCTGAAAAACTTATTGAAATTATATGTATTTGTAAGAATATAAGTATAATGAGAGAAGAAAGGAGTTAACTATAATAGACATGAGTAGTTAGATGTTGTAGTATACAGAAAAAAATTGTTAAAAAAATATTTGTTTATAAGAAATCTATAAAAGATTTTGATGGCGATATGCTAGATATTATATTAAAATTACAAATTAAGTCAGAAGAGAAAAAATTTATACAAGTGAAACAAGTAATACATAATGAATGTCACTTTTATGTAAATGATGGGTAACAAAGAATCTGAATGAGAGAGGATGAGAATATTTTATACTTAAAAGATACTGGACGCTTTATCATAGTTTCAGTTTTCCTTTGTCTATATTATAGGTTAATATGTTTATCTGATAAGCAATCGCAAGTAAATCTTCATATTAGATATAAAGAAACTTTTATTCTTTAATTTATACAAATGGATGGATATTGAAAATCAGAACATATATTAGATTAAATAAGCCTTTTTTTGCTATATTATGTAGAATTATAATAAAAGTTATTGGAATTTTCTTTTTATTTACAAATAAAGCTCATACATCAAGTAATTCTGATATTTGAGGTATTTCTTTCTAGATGAATTAGAGTTTTTGCTTGATCAATCAAAATCACAATGCTATAGTAATTGATGCACTTATTGCAATAAGAATGAATATGAATTCTAAAGAAAAGCAACCTATAACTTGTGATGTTTGATATATCAATAAATATGATAAAAAGATTAAACAATTGATGATATTACCAGATAATCATCAATTAAAAGGGCAACTGAAGGGTATCAAGCAAGTGCAGTGCTTAAAGAACGTACTCTCTAGCCAATGAAGATCATTTGTTTGACATGTGAGCAATGTTCTGGAAAATGTGACAAAGTTAATCCAAAAAGATTAGACTGTTGTGCATGATAAATCATGTCACTACAACTGGATTTTCAGGAACAGCGGTCAATATTAGAAGAAGCAATTATAGAAGCAAGTCATATATTTGAAAATACCAAAAATTCCATTGCGAGTGTAACTTTATAGAGTGATACTGGAATTATACAAAGTGAGAAATTAGAGAGCTATGTAGTTATAGCTTTGCAGACTATTAAAATGAATTCTAGAAGTTCTTTTTAATGTGTTTATAACAACTATTCGTAAGTTTGTATGCAAGTCATGAATGTATATGAATGTGTACAACAAACGGTTAGAGGGTGGCGCTGCAGAGTGGGCTATTAGTAAATACAAATCACATCGTAGAATACCTGAGAATATTGAAAGAACAATGGATTGTTAATATGAAATATGATATTATAATAATAAAGAATTAATTGCTTAATTAAATGGTTAATCTTTTATATTATAGGAAAATTATTAAAATCTACTGTATATTTCACAATTATATTTTTAAACAGGTGATCTGAAAATATTTATTGTCGGTCAATTGACTTTTAAAAAGTAGTACGCCCGAGAAAAGTATTTAATAAATGAAAAAAATGCTTATAGGGGTTCACTTTTTCTTTTTTCGGCCATAAATTTCTTCTTCATAAAGTTTATATAATAAAACAATTGCAGCATACTATATATACATAGTCATTATTTTTTTTGTCTCGTGATTTACCATTGTTTTCGTATGATAAAGTTTTTTTATTTATTTACTAATAATCTAGAATGTATTCGACAAAATTAAAAAAAGATGGTTTTTCGACCGATTCAAAAAAAGAGTACCATAAATCTTTAGATTAGAATTTTCAAATTGTTTATAAATTTGACGTAAGTAGAGAGCGACGACGTTGAGGCAATACTTCTTCTGTTTACATTCCTTTTGTTTATATATATAAACCTAAAGAACTGGACGTAACACGAGAATCGGAGAATCATAATATGAATCATTTTTTTTCCGTGTACTGTTACTTTTTTTTTACTATGCTTGTTATTGTATTTCGTCACCAATCAAGTTTCTTATATTTCTTTGAAATCATTAAATTCAAACTTTTATGTTACACAAATTTTAAGCTGTCAAAATATATATCATTTTTTCTTCATCTGTATGTGTTTTCTTTTACAGAGACTCGCTTCTAATATCAATACCTTTTTAACAAAATCCATATTCATTATCTATACAATGGTACTGCCTAATCCTCCTGGTGGCATAAATATTTATGAAAACACAAGTGAAAATTCAAGTTAATGACAGTCATATACCAAGGGAGAAAAGAAACAACCAAAAGTAGTTATCGTAAATATTTTTATTCCTCAAATCGATGAATAAATGAGTAACGAGATGAAATAAACTGTATAATAGCCACGCTCTGCTCTATTTTCAACGCGTTGTAAAAATCTTCCATCTTTATAACAAACATGCTTGCTTATCTTGTGATTATTGGAATTTTGTTCCATTTCTCCTGAAGGGATATGTGGGTTTTGACGAGCAAATTATGATATGTGTCGAACCGCGCCACTTACGAGAAGAACGAAATTATTTATTATATGACGTGAAATTGGAAATGGGGCTAGACTTTTTAATTTGCGGATAACCTCTATAATACAGCTTATTCATGTATTTTATAGCAAAGTATCCTTTATAAAATACATTTTATTAATAACCCACTTTTCTCTTGAGGTTGAAGAGCGCCATACGGCCTAGCATTTACAAATAAATCAATAAATACACATATCGCTTGAACAAAATGTGGGATATTGGAGCTATGAGATTGTACTAACTTTTTTTCGTCTTTAGAATGGATGGATCTTATATGTTTCACAGCAAGAAATTGTTCAATAAACGCTCATCATTATAAATGACAAGATTTCTAAAAAAGAAAAATTTAAAAGAGTTTAATCATTATATCAGATAAAAATCTAAACATTTTGTTGGTGTTTGGTCTTTCTCCCGAAAATTCGTCACGTTTATTGGCCCTACACTTCCCTCGGAAAAGCAACCGGTCAAGTTTTTCTTAATTTTCTTAAATTTCTTAAAATCTGGAAAAAATTTTTTTTATTTTTTTTAATATTTTGACGATGATGTTTATATTTTTACATTGTCGCTGCTCGAAAAGCTCATTTCATAGTAGATCGAGAGTTAAGGCCACTTTCCATGAATAGTGCATCGTAAATAAAACAAATTATAAGAGCGTACCAAACAGAATTGAAACTTGCATTGCATTAGAAATCAAAGCATTAATTGTATTTTCATAAATAATAATATTTTTTTTTATCTGACCTGATATTTTTTCCGAGGTATTATAATAAAATTTTATAATTCACGTCGATCAATGCTTCCATCAAATGAAATGGTTCGATGTTATGTAATTACCCAAAGAATTCAACTGGTTGAATCTGATCAGCTGAACTTGGAAGTCCTTCCGGTAAGAAAAAACCGAGATCAAGTGTTCATCATATTAACATTTTTTTTGATTGTCAGGCATGAATCAACGATTCTAAATATAACTTAATTAAGCCAAGAACAATTTTCTATAAATAATCTTGGGTCGGGAAGGGCGTGATAAGAAACTTTTACTATGGAATAAAATAGGCTTGATATATAGCAAAATAGAAAGGAATCGACATTTTATGGTCCAGGGGCCGGAAGAATATGCTATTTCACATTACGATTAGTCTGGCCGGCCATTTATATTATATTAATTATTAACATAATAGTATATTTTGGTATTTTTACTTTTGAACTAATCAGAAAAATGCAATGTGTGATATATTATTGCCATATTATACGACGGGTTGTAAACCATAATTTTTCGATTATATCGATTTTAAAGATTTGAGCTATGTAGAAACACATGGTTAATTGCACAACAAATAGATTTCTTATAATATTTTATTGATAATAAAAATAATTGCTACAAATATAATAGGGTAGTGGGTATATATGCTTTCTAAATACATCGAGACTAATAAATATCTGTGATTTGAAATTATATTTGAATATAATTTGAATTTGAATTTCACGTGGATCATTATTGCGAAGTTCGACCGCGATTTTCAGATCTACTCGGAAATTATCATATTATCTAATTCAGAAAAATTGTAATCATTTATGTACGTCTGCCAATTCGGCTCTTGGAATATCATCTTGAGTTTCCAGATATTCAGAAGCCTGTCATTGTTGTGGATACAAATGTATTGGAACTTCAATAGTCATTACCGTTATTTGATGGAAGTCGTAAAGTGTGATAGTTTCGTGAATCTATTTTGAATTTCTGGTATATAATCAGATGGGTCGATCAAAGCCATAAAATGGAGGAGAAGTCTTTTGGAATGTAATCAATAAATACAACAATTTTTAGTGTATCGTCTTTTCATCATACGGGTATCGCGTGTATTTGAAAAGCTTCGCTTTACAGTGGATAAATTTTTCTAATGTAAATAAAATTTGTTTTTATCAAATGATGACAATGCTCTGCTAAAGCTAAAAAGAGAAGTGAAACGAAGAATGGAAAGGTGTATATTTATCATATTTTCGCCGATTTTCTTTTACCATTAATCTCTCTAATTGAATTAAAATTAATTTTCCATAATAATACCGTCTTCCCGATTAGCACGATTTGCGCCATAATTAGATGAATTTAGGCAGGGTCTGGTTGAAATTTCAATTATGGAATGATCTTTATGACACTCTGTATACCATCTGATATCATTTGAACGAATTTTTCTGCACCCTGCTACGGCTATTGACGGGGCCCCTTCAGTTGTCTCATTGTTTTATGAAGTTCATTAGACGATCTCAAAGATTTTTTTCCTTCTAATCTCATTATTACCCTTTTTCTTGTTCTTGAAATGTCCGTCTTCCTTTCCTCTTAAGATTTGATGTTGGCGATAAGATATCACCACTGCTCTATAACGGAACTAGGTATATCAACATCTTCCTCGCATCGCAAGTAATAACTTGAGTTTTCTGTCTCAATGTCATGGCTCAATCTTGCTTCTCGGGTTCAATCTCGGAATTCTCGGCAGCATTACCTGCCATTGTGTCTCCAACTTATCGATTCGGCTCCTAAGCTCTTCATATTTGCATCCTTGGTTTTCTCGATCTAAATCTTGGGTTGTATGTTCGATGATATTTTTTTTTTTATAAGGATGGGGATAATTCAAAGTTTTATCTTGCGAAGGCCCTATGCGAAGGCGGGATAAATACCTTGAACTCTTGTCACTGTTAGAATTACAGTTAAAATTGTCTTTATTGATATAGAAATAAATTACATTATTCGGTGATACACAAATTTGTTTACTAAGTGAAATCGTCTATACTAATGCTACAGATTTTTCATTCATATGTAATATCTTAATATTATCTCATCACTAACTTTTATCCGCTTGTATTTATCCCATTCTGGATAGAATCAAAGTGATCGTCAGTTATGCTTAACGAGACATTCGTGACATTAACCTTAGTAAAAGACCACCGAAATTTATGTGATGCTAGTAAGTCCCCAAAAATCTGTACGAAAATTTTGCAAGTCCTGAAACCGTTTGCACAATAATAATAATCCCCGGAATTTTAAACTACGAAAACTTTTACGAGAAAATTGGAGAAAGAAAAAAATTGACATCGCGCTTTATTTTTAAATCTAGTAGAGATCATGTGATATTAATCACCATTTGAAATAATAAATCGCTTATTAATTATTTCCCCTATATAGTCACTCTTATATATTGGGCAGAATTATTAATAAACTTATTAAAAAAACCCCTCTTTTATAGTCGCATAATATGGCTTTTTTATGTGACGTTACAGGGGGTCGACTGCATGATTACCATTTGTCATAATAAGCCACCAATCAAGAGTCTATTAAGTCTATATATATACCTAAAACCTTTAAACTTTCTCAGAATAAACTTACAAAAACTTCTATTAAAAAAGAATAAAATAAAAAAAAATCATACATAATGTTTAGCGTTTACGGAGGAAATATCGCACAAAAATGCGCACAAAAATACGCACAAAGATACGTACAAAGATACGCACAAATAAGATCACTTCATAACATGAATGGTAAGTAAAGTATAACTAGGAAACGGGGACCGTTGCTAAGTCCGGAGCAAGTATAATGCAAGTAACCAATCACGTATCGACTCAATTTTTGAGCGGGCTGACAACGAGACATCTCCTCACATATTAAGTCAAGGCGTCTAGAAATATATAGTCCTTCGCTTACGCTCCGGACTAATTAAGAACAAAATTTATTAATGTCTACTTATAATTTATCCCAAAAAAGGAAATGTCGTAAAAGAATCTATTTTAAGTTCTTTTTGGTCATCATTTGCTATTGGTTCAATTGGTTTTGCCGCGTTTCAACTGGTTGGATTGATGCGTGAGGAACTTAAAGAAGAGATTAATCCACTTGGTACAAAGGTTGACAAGCTTGACAAAGTAAATGATTACAAAGCTAATTAATGATCATTCCCTAATATTAGTACAAAATTACTAATGTTAACCATCTCATTCAATCTAGAAATTCGACAAATTAGAAAAACAATTTCTCGAAGATATGAGACAAATAAAAGCACTCTTAAAAAAAGGACCACAGAAATAATGTCGCAGGCTCAGAGAAATTTTTATGATCTCGATTTAAACCTTAGATGGTTTTATATTCATACCATACTAATTCTTTGACATTCAGCAAAATTGCTTCACTAACTTTTAAGTAATATACAGTATGTTAAATTAGAAAATCAATTATAATTTTAATCATGTAAATTTCACAATAATTGAAGCTATATTATCGTATCTTTTATCGCGAAAGCCAATAAACAACGGAAAAATTATTTTGACATTTTTTTATACTTAAAAAATTTCATTAATTGTGGTCTAAATTTTAGATTGGTTCAATTAAATTGATTACTTTGCATGTAACAAACAAAAACGTTTATTCAAATTAAGGGCTTCTTTCGGATCGGGCAAGTATATATTTTGTCTCCGACCTTGGCCACCTTGGATCGGATCATGTCAATTATCCGACCTTCAAAAATTACGTAGATCTTTCCTTTTGTATAATATAATATAATGATCTAAAATTTGGTATCTTACATTTGTGCTTAAAAAATTTTACTATGGGCGTTTTACATTTTTTTTGGTATGAATTTAACTTTAATACTTTTATTAAATCAATTTAATTGATTTTAAACCTAATTTTTCTTGTACTTAAATTTTAGGTGGTTATGTAATAAATATAAACAAATCATTGAAAAGGTCAACACATCCGATGAATTCGATAATTTATATTTGGATATGAATGGTATTATTCATATTTGTTGTAATCAAGATAAAGGGGTAAACTTTTTTATGATTCATCAAAACTCTTGAGGTCATTGGTTTATTAATTTTCATTTTATTATTATAAGCTTTCTCCAGCTACAGAAGAAGAGATGATGATGAAAATATGTCATCATACTCAACAGATATTTGCCATGATTCGCCCTCAAAAAGTTTTATTTATTGCTATTGGTAAAATTTAATATTTGTCTTTATTAAAATAGAAGCAGATTCTAATTATAATATACTTTTTATTTTTATTTAGATGGAGTAGCTCCACGTGCTAAAATGAATCAACAGAGATCTCGTAGATTTAGAAGTGCAAAAGAAGCACAAGAAGCAGCTGGATCTCGAGGTATGATGCGTTGATAATAATTCATTATAAAATCAACTTATGATTACCCCTAATAATTTATTAATCTATAGATGTAGAAAAGAAATCATTTGATAGTAATTGTATAACGCCAGGTATATTCCATCATACGGTGGAATTATATAAATTTGCCCAACTTTCGAAACAAATAAATTTCTTGAAAGTTGAAGTTGGCTTTAACTACAAGGATATTTTGTATTTGATGTATTCATCTCATTAATCTGATGTTTAAAGTGTACCATATGTCTAACCGTTGATTACAATATTCAAAATAATAGGTACGCTTTTTATGGCACGTGTTGCAGTATCCTTACGAAATTGGATCGCATTTAAAATTAACACGGATCCAGGATGGAGAAATGTATGTGTCACTTGTTAAACTTTTTGTTTGTTTTGGTTTCTTTGTAAAAGATATTTATTATCAATAATTAATTTATAGTTAAAGGTCATATTATCTGACGCGAGTGTACCAGGTGAAGGTGAACATAAAATTATGAATTTTGTTCGTGTACAACGTGCTAGTAATCCTAATACTCGTCACGTCTTATATGGCTCGGTCGGTTATTTTATTTTATTTTTTTTTTTAAAAAATAGTCACTTAATATATTTATTAATAAGTATTTGAAATTTTTTGTATTCTTTTTATTTTAGGATTCTGATCTCATATTTCTTGCGTTGGCTACACATGAACCTCATTTTAAAGTGCTACGAGAAGATCAAAAAAGTATTTATGGTGGATGTTTCAATTGTTTCAATAAGGCCAATTTAATTCATATATTAACATTATGAGATCTTTATGTGATATTTATATATATTTTTTTTATAGAAAATGTTATTGATATTATAAATGTTCAAGTTTTTCGAGAATGTTTGAGAAGGGAACTTGAAGTATCCAACTTGCCCTGGTCATTTAATTTGAAAAATGCGATCGATGATTGGGTCTTTCTTAGCTTTTTCGTAGGTAATGATTTTCTTCCCCATATTCCGTTTTTGGATATCAAGGAAAATGCGATAGACACCTTGATTACTATATGGAAAAGATGTCTTCCATTAATGGGTGGTTATTTGACGGATCGTGGAACTGTATGTTTTATTTTCCTTTTAACTAATTTATTATTATATACAAAGTTCAAAAATATTTAAACATTCATTCTCTAGTTGAATTTAAAAAGGTTGCAACATTTTGTTACAGAACTTGACAACGAAGATAAAAACGCGTTTATTCAATGGTATCAAAAAGGTAAGTATTTGTTAATAAATTTTACAGATTGAGAGAGATCATTAGTAAATGATCAGACGTAATTATTGAAGGCAGAGTAAAAATGATTGGCATTGCTGTTTCAATAATTTATATAAATCGATTCCGATATTTCTGAAATCTTAATTACATCGATTAAATAATTCTATAACAAAAATAATATTGATGTTTAATTGAAATCATTAGCACGAGACTTATCAAAGAATACAGATGATTATAACGATATTACTAGGTAATTAACTCAATTTCTTTAATAATTGTGATTAAATACTATTAGGATAATTATTAATCGACTATGAACCTGGATTTAAAAGAAGATACTATATCCAAAAATTTGAAGTTACTAATCCAGATGAAGAATTTCGTAAAAAGTACGTTATTTATTTAATTCATAAACATTAAAATATATGTAAGTTTAATGAAATTTCTTTTATTATTTTCAGAATTGTAAAAAATTATATTGAAGGCCTCTGTTGGATTCTGGAATATTATTGTCGGGTAAAATTTTGTTATTATAATAAATATTACATAGTTGGGAATATGCTAACACTGAATAATACCTTCTAGGGAGTTCCATCTTGGACATGGTATTATCCTTACGGTTACTCTCCATATGCATCAGACTTGATAAATATTGGTGACATTATACCTGAATTCAAATTAGGTGATCCCTTTAAACCACTCGAGCAATTAATGTTTGTGTTACCGCCATATAGGTAAAATTTTAAAATATCAATTTTATCATTTATAATTGTATTAACGTTATAAATTATTAAATAATTTATAGCAAAGAACTTTTGCCATTGCCTTATCAAAAGCTAATTACTGACGAACGTAGTGCAATAAAAAGATATTATCCTGAATCATTCGAAATTGATTTAAACGGGAAAATACAACCATGGCAAGGTAGGATTTATCCGTTATTATTGAATTTCTGTTCTTTATGTAACTAAAATATTTATTTTAATTCATTATAGGAGTTGTTCTGCTTCCATTCATCGATGAATCATTATTACTTCAAACCATGAAATTGGTATCTTCTCAATTAACTTCCGATGATATTAGAAGAAACTCTCATGGTTCTGATATTCTTTTCTTTAGCAATCAGCATGAATTATATAATAAATTATTTTCTTTATATTCAGGAAGGAATCCAGTAGAGGTAAATCCTATTTAAATTTTTCGAATCTAAATAAATTTTATTTGACTAAAATTTAATTAAATATACAAATGAATTTATAATAGGTACCATTAGATCCAATTAAAGACAAAATGATTGGATTTGTTACAAGAAATCCTAATTTTATTTCTTTTGGCGGATTGAGGTATTTATTGATTCACCATCGTCATCATCACTATTATTATTATTATTTAAATTAACTTATCTTTTAATTCATTAATTAGTGTATTATATCGCATAGGATCTTCATGAATGGATTAGATGTGGTAGAGGGTAGAAATTTTCTCACAATGTTGATACGCTTAATGATATGCATTTACCAAATTGCCCCTATTCACGATAGAATTATATTGTTTATTATACAACAAATCATTCCCTGAAAAATAAGACGTTATTTATTTCTTGAAGTCAAAATGTTTTATATTTAATAAAAAATTATTTTGTACTTAGATAAAATACCTGAAATAAATACAATTTTTTGTCTTTTACAATTTTAAAATTTTGATTATCAATTTGCAATATTGATCTGTGTTCGAAAGCTCCCTAGTAGCCAGGAACTAAAAATGATCTTTGACTAATCGAGAGAAATCAAATGGCGGTATTTTGTGACAAATTGAAATAATATGGATCAGGACGCTTACATTCTTATTCAAATCTCAAATAACAAGTAGATTAGGAATGTAAAAGATTATAAAATCGAGTCTGATAAGAAAACATTAATGTATCATGATCAAAGAAGCTCTATTTACGTTTCGATGCATTGTGGTATTGCAAATAGAGGCAACGAAAACTTTATACATTTATATAATTGTTTTAAATTGCTCTCATAGGATATACTGTCTAAGCACCTCGCTTAATCATTTACGAGATCATAGACCTTCTTATACATTTGTGCGTCCTGACTTTGGACATAATTTCGTTAACTCTTAAATTTATCATGAGTACATCTATTTATAATTTCTAGCCTTCCACTAGATGATCCCACTAAATAAAGTCTTCGTCTTTCAAAAAAAGCTATAACTTGTTTTAGTCTAAATGACTCATGATGACCATCATACTGATAGACTATATTAACTTCAAAAGGATGTATTGTACCTTTAGATATAACAATTTCGTTTCTGTAAATGATAAAAATTCATTTATGAAGTAATATTATTATACATGACCATTACCTAGGGATTGAGAAAGTAATTTTCATGCAATGCTTTGCTGTTTTTTTTTTTGAAGACATCATTCAATAACAAAGAAACAAATCAATCAATAAACACATTATCATATGACGCGCAGATTAAAGAAAATGATATCTATCTTTCAATATAATTTGATAGCTTTGATGAAATCCTTTACATCATTGACATCTATTGGAGTATCAAGCTTTGTATACTCAATTAACTGCTGTGTTAAATTCGAATCTGAACTAATAATATTTATTACCTGAATTTCCTTAAAGGTGCTCATATCTATAGCATCGATAATATCTGAAATTTTAGTACAAAACTGAGCCAATGCAAGGCTGACTTGGACCAACTTAATATCCGGTTGCTTTCGATAAACGTCACCAAAGATTTGCAACGCTAATCTCCAATTACCTTGCCTCATATAACAAAACCCGAGTAAAAGGTAGGAGATGGCCGTGTCATCGGACGATAAAAGCAGTGCAAATTCTTCTAGATTTTGCATTTCGCTATGGATATTCCCCAAGGCACCCGCGCTATTAATGATAATGTATCTCGCCAAATATTTAATGGGAATTTCTTCTATCTTATCCTTTAATGACATCTGAATCGCAATGGGTAAAATGGGTATTTCTAATTGTTCGAAAGACATATCAGCATTTGAGCTTTCTGTCAATCTTTGTATGGCATTTTCCGCATGAATAATTGCCTGTTCGTAATAATCATTGATAAAATAGGCTATAGCAAGCATCATTTGCACATCAGCCGAGTCATACGCCTCGATAGCATTATGGTACTGTTTAAAGATATTTTCCCGTATTTTTTGGGTCATATAATCATTTTTTTTTGCTTTAATAAAGTCAATGGTTGCAATTGAAGACAACGCCATACTCTTTGCCATCGGATTATTGGATACTTGGGCAATTTCACTACAAAGGATTTTGACTTGATCAAGATTTCCTTCCGAATAGCGCTTCTTGACTTCAAACCACTTTTGTATTACAATTAAGTAATCTTTCATGTGGTTAATGTAAGCTAAGATAACATGTGCATTTGTAAGGAGATAATTATCCTCTGGATAAAAAGTAGAGAGTAACTGAATAGCCTTGGAAACTGCTTGACGCGATCTAGCGTTCATTTCAAGCGCGATACTTGTTTCCTCTTCTGATTCTGCTATAACGTCAAAATCTATTGAAATGTTAAGTGAATTTGCTAACCATAACAAGGTAGAACCTGCATTATACGCGTAGGCTTGGGTTCCTTCTCGATAGAGTTGTTTTTGTAATGACTCTAAAGTCTCATATGTATCCAACATTTTTGCAGGCATCTTGTTATCTTGGTAAACCTCCATAAGTGCGCGTAATATCTTTTCCTTGATATTTGGCCTATCGAGTTGATGATCATTATAGAAATTTATGCATTCCCTTAGCAATTCTATATGTCGCGTTTTATCCGCCCCTAAGTAGCCCATTGCTAAAGTTTCCATGGTGTTGAGTATGTTGATCTCCTTCGTCGTTTGTTCTTCAATACTTAAACTAGGACAGGTTAAGTTATAATCGCGTTTTAAGATTTCCAAAGCTTCCGCGCTGAGGGTAGATCGTTTTGATCTATCTCCAATATTTCCGTATGCGTTTGCAAGATTATTTAAACTTTGCGCGTATAATGGATCATTTTTGCCGTATAATTGAGCTTTAATGGCATGCGCCTCTTGAAGAAGTTTCAACTTTTGATGATAGTTTGAGGCATTGTACTCTGCAAATCCAAGTGAAGTGATAATTTCCGCATATTCTTTGGTATTCTTGTTTAGGTCATACTTATCATATAAGTCAATCAATAATTTTAAATAAGTATTTTGATCGAACCTTTGCAAATTATTAGAAATTTCGCATAAATTATGAAGGTGGTCCCTGAAAAAAGTAACGATATCCATTTCCATATCATCTTTTTGCTTATCGATAGGTACGTGAAGTTTAAGCAAGGTCTGCCGATAAATATTCATCACTTGTAACATTTTGACATTTACCTTGTCAAATTTCTTTAGGTATAGGTAACAAGCTATAATGAGCTTTTGTAAAGCATATATTATATAATTTTTATGAAAATTGAAACTTAAGATTTGTCTAACGAAACTACGGATATAAATAAATTCATTTTCACACGTTAACCAGTTGAGTTTGAGTAGGATCAAGAGAATATGATTTGCGTGTTCTTCGGTTAACCCTAGATGAATTAATGAAGATTGAAAGAAATCCTTAGGAGCCTTATCCCCAATGAGATGCATTAAATATAACAAGCAATTATTGCTGATCAATTCGGTATAATGTGTCTCGTTTTCAGCAAGCATTTTAAACTCATCAACCAATATTAGTTTACTAGCCGAAAAATTAAATAGAAAACAAGTACAGGTATTATTAAGGTGGATAAAACTGGTATGAAGCTCAGACTTGACAGATTGCAAAAAATCACAATAGGCTTTTACGCTCTTGAATTTGCCAATCGTGATGCAAACAGTAGCCAAATCAATAATAACCGGAAATTGGCCCGAGAGTTCCAATAATTGTTCAAATTCCTCTTTGTTTTCACACTTAATAGAGTACTTTTCAAGCGTATTCCTTAAATAACGTCTTGAATCAAAACCAGCTGGTGGTGTTTCTGCTTCTATTGCTTTTAAAAAGAGTGTCTCTAACACATTCTTAGGTGATACATGTGCGCGTATTTCATCCAACAAGCGTTGTCCATTATCAATCACTTTTGAATAGTCTCTAATCAAATCAATTAAATCAGGTCGATGTAAACTATCTGTTTTTAATAATTTCCCCAATAATTTCTTAATTTCTCCTTGATGTAATGCTATGTCCCATTTGTATCCCGATACACCTGTTTCCAATAATTTGCTTGCTAATTTATTAATTTCCCCTTTGTTTATTGACATAACGATTTGCTGGTTTGTCATTCCTAAAATTTTCTCTCGATTGTTTTCTGAAAAGTACGACATGATCTGCACTTCAAGCAATTTTTGTTTTATTTTTTTAATTTTTAAAATTCCTTCCAGCGAAACATAGTCTAGTTGTTCAAGCTCATTTCCTGCTGCATAAGACTCATCCAATTTAGTTATTATCGTTGACATGGAATCGGCATGCGGTATAACTGATTGGTAATCCTTTTTTGCTAATGCGGCATCGAGAAAGTGCATAATAGTTTCTAATAGTAAGTTTGGTTGTAATTTTTCAGCATATTGATAAGCTTTTTCAGCGTACAACAAGGCGCGTCCTTCCTCCTTAGATTGTTGGCAAATCTCATTTAATTTCATGAGAGTATCTAGATAATTGGGATAAATTTTAGGCAGTTCCTCGTAAATACTATACGATTGTAGCAATTTTTCCTCCGCGCTCAGTGTCTTCTTTTCTAGTAGATCTAGGCTGGCTAATTGGTAATATGCTTTTGCAAGGTCACTGTGACTTTCACCGTAGAATTCTGTAATAATTTTGACAGCTTCACATATTCTTTGTTCGCTTTCCTGCCATTTATTATAATGAATCCAGATATCAAAAGCATCCAGATAGAATTTTGCGAGTTGCAATCGATGATAAGAATTTCCTGTAAGGGATTTTTGATACAGCGTCATAGCCTTTTCATAATATTCGTATGCGCTCTTGTAGCCTTTTCTCGCTTGTTCAAGCTTCATGTAGCTATGCAAAAGTTGAAAGCTAATGGCTTTGCTCGTGAGCTCGTGCTCTACGACAAATAACAATGAAGAAACATAATCCAATTGTTTTTGAGCTGGAACAAATTCTCCAACAAGGCACAAAGTATTAGCAAGATCAATGTATGCCTTTAATAGCCGATTTGCAACTCTACCTGCGTAGAGGGTGGTGAGCATTTTAATAACCAATTCCCTATATTCCACTGCTTGCTCTCGTTGGTTGAATCGCTCCGCAATTTCAGCTGCTTGCTGATAAATATCGACTAATTTAATATGAACTTGCTTTCCATAAAGCTCGCCCGTATATTCGAGAGCGCATTCAACGTAATATTTGCTGCGCTTGTATTGTTTTTGATTTGCATACCATTTTGCATTGCTAATATAATAATCAATCATCACATGATTTTTAAGTTTGTCAGGGATGCGTTCAACCACCTCATTGGCTTTTTTTAAATGGATCGATTCACCCATCGGGTTGCCTAATAGACTCTCGATTTGTGCAATAATGCAATGTGTTTGTATGCATTCTATGGATATCTCTTGATTATTCGCCATAAGCTCACTTAAGATAAGGTTAAACTCCTCGAGGGCTTCCTTATGGTTTTCCAGAGTTAATTTTAGGTAACCTAAATTGAAACGGTCAGTAATATCTGGTGTTTTATGCGCCAAGTATTCTTTATAGGCTTCGTAAGCTAATCGAGGTTTCTCCAAGTGTACGTACAATCGAAACAATTGAAAGTGAGCATCCTCTGATCCCGATTTCTGTGCCTCAAGCAATAAGAGTTCTGCTTGCCTATAAAGCATGAACCGGAAGCATATCGTAGCTTTTGTCGTTATCCTCTCATCCAAAAAATTTTCCATGGTGTTAATCTGATCCGGAGTTTCCAGATCAATACTTGATTGTACAAAACGGTAAAGAGGTATTGCGATTTGATAGAATCTCACTAGATCACTGATATCATCTATACCTAAAAAGCTTCCAACTTCTGAGCTACTGGATGCCTCAGTAGCATTCCAGATACTCAGTCTTTCGCTTTGACTATCATGAATAAGATAGGTAAACAAACGGGCTTGTAAAGCCACAGCAGTCATAAACTCGAGCTGAGCTGCTCCCGTCTGATTGACAATATTCATTTCCAAGAGCCCTGAAATTTTATCCCATAACATTTCACCAGACGTTGCAAAATTCATATGTAACCCTTCGATCAGTCGGTCCGGTAAACGGTAAATTTCATTCTTAATGTTTAATAATTTTCCTTCATCGCTAACCTTATCGATGCGGATTTTATACTTTTCTAAATCAGCTTGTAAGTTTTTGGTACCAATCTGCAGTAACACCTTGGCCATCCGTTTATGAAAGGGCAAATTATCTACATCTCCTTTTTGCAGCAACTTTTGTTTGACTAAATTCTTGTAATTTTCATATAACAACTTGTTTCCCACCAAGAATCGACAATCAAGTAATTCGGCAACCAACAAGGGGTCGTTCTCGAACGTGATTGGATTGATGTAATCCGCCATCTTTTGAGGGGTTTGTAACAGTTCATAGTCCTTATCCGAACGTCCAAGCGGTGTTTTTCCTCCCAGGTCAAACTGAAATCCAGGTTTGAGTAGGTCGTCAAAATCGATACCACTAGTTTTATTAGGGATTGCAAATAAACTCCAAGGAAGCGCGGTTTGTCCGAGACTGATAACGATAAAATTCATCAAATGAACCATTCGACGTAACGCTTCTTTCATGTTATGGTTATTGACTAGAATACAAAATTCTATATCCGAGTAGGGAGTGGCTGTACCTTTTGCCCACGATCCCAATAGCACAATCGCAATTTCTTGTATGTTAATGGTATCGTCACGAAGGGTGTCAATTGCGAGTTGTGTAATATCATAAAGTAGTTCATGCAATGATCTGTTAAGCTCTCGATATCCATCCTTAATTATAATAACCTTTTCGGAATTATTCGTTGCCTCTTGGGCTTGAAATATGATGCTCTTGGCTTGATTACATTGAATATCTCTAAGTGACTTGTGAAAGTCATCAACACGAGAGAAAAAATCTGTTAGATCATTATTGGATCGCAATATCTTTTTTAATAAAAAATCTTTTAATGCTATAAATTCCTGAATCGTTACTAAATCTTTATTTGCTATCTTGTTAGCGGCCTTAAATATCTTAAAAATGGACAAGCAGCGATCAGCCATTTGTAAAGTAATCATATTCTCTTGATTAACAAGGTTCTACCAAAGCTTTTGGCCAAT